ACACTGTACAGGTTCTATATGTAGTCTGGGGGTCCCTGTGGAAGTCATGTGTGGACATTTCTACCTATGATAAATGACAGGCTAAACCCACCTGGAGACTTTCTCCACACCTGGAGTGTGCTGAGTTCTTGGAGAACGTCTACACAGTGTTTCCAGATTGGCTTTATCACCCCCAACGAGCTCGCTCCAGTTCATGGATGTCATCATTATGTTTGGAGGATCTCACCAGTCAGGAGCCTTTCCTGTCATCCTACATGTTCCCTTATGAGGATTGTTCTATCCTTCCAAACAAATGTATGAAATCATGGATGAGTCCTCCTTCTATGTGATCTAGAAGATCTTCAATCACAATGTCTTTATGGATGAAGTGGATGGCCCAGTTTATATATTATTTATTGCTTTACAGCTTTATTCCCCTCCAGGATTCATTCTTTATTTATAGAACCATTCAAGGAAGTGTTCTTACTTTGAGAGATCTCCACACACCATTCCTCTGTGACCATTACATCCTTGTCATTTATGTCTAACATCTTCTGCATTATCAGTGGATTGATAGATATTCTTATGCCTTTGGATTTATTTTTGCATTTTTTTTTACCCAAAAAAGATCTGTTTTGGAGGTCTCTGTTTTATTATGTATTTTGTTTTTATCTTGTGTTCTGTGTCTTAAGACTTTTCTATCTGTAGTAAAATATCTTTTTTAAACAGTTGGTTGCATAAGAGTTAGGTTATTGTTTTCTTACTGTTTTTTTAGTTCTTTTTGATCTTCCCTGGTATCTCTGTAAGGTAGATACAATGCTGGAATGGTCTTTAGGGGAAGTTTCTTGGGGCTGCTGTTTCTCTGAAATCCACAAGATGGGGATCTCATTTCTCCCCAGACAGGACTTCTTTATGGAATACAGACAGGAAGTGATGTCAGGTTCAGACAGGCCATTCCGAGAGGTGAGTTGGGAGGAAGCAGATCAGAGATATTTTGCTGCACTTGGCAGCAGAGGAGGTAATAAGATGTTATTTCCTATTTACACCCAGTAACCCCCCGTCATGTTCGTCCTCTTCCTCCATAGTCATGTTCATCCTCTTCATCATCATGTCCGTCTCTTCCTCCATAGTCACGTCCGTCCTCTTCCTCCTGGTGTCACGTTCCTCCGTCCTATTCCTCCATAGTCATGTCCATCCTCTTCCTCCATAGTCACTGTGACGTCTTTTATCTCCAGCAATGATGATGATACACACATATATTAGTGTGGGAACCCAGATGAACCCCTTCAGGGGAAGCAGAACATTCCCCCACTTCCGGGGCCGGAACATTCTCCTCATTGTGGAGATAAATTCTAGTAATATGGTCCTCTAAACAAACAGCACTGACAATAAATAGACAAGACAAGGGACCATCCTGACCATACATGGCCTACAAAGGGCAATGATGACACTACACAGGCAGCCAATGGGCAATCATTACACTATGCAGCCAACACAATGATGGAGTGCCGGGGTCAGGAGTATGGAGCATAGAGCCCCTTACATTGCTGCTCAGGAGGAAGGAAACATTCCTTTTAACAGAAAATGTATATAAATCTGAGGCTCTTTTAGGAATATCTGGGGTTTCAAAAATGAAAGGGACTTTATAGCGACTAAAACATTTAATATGTGTAACATTGTTCTGTTTATCTCCACCTGTCTCCAGCACCGCACCCGGGACTAGCAGGGAGGGGAGAGACCTTGCAGTGTAATGAGAACCGATTGGCTGCTCCTCAGGAAAGGGGAGTATCCGGCTTATCCTTCTACTCCCTTTTCACTCCCAGAGCCCTTTTTGCAAACATTTAAAAAATCATTTTAGCCCTAAAGATGACACGAAACCCCCAAAATATCGATTTTCTGAAAGTAGAGACTTTAGAGAATAAAATAGTGGCAGTTCTAATGTTTTATGTCAGAAAATATTATCACAAAGTCTAGGAAATGCCAAATTTCAGTAAAAAATACACTTAAGTTAATTTCATGGCACAAAAAAGCAATAAATGACCCATTTATGTGTAAAAAATATAAAAGCCGAGGTTGCAGCGAGTAAATAGATATCAACATGTCAAACCTTAAGTTGTGTGTGCTGAAATGGTGACAACCTTTAGTCCCCGGTATTATCTATAGGGGACACATTTATAGCCCCCTTCTAGGTCATCAGTATAGAGTACGGAGGAGGTCTGCTCCTAGAATTTAATGGTGTGAACCTCCTGCACTCCTAACTCAATACTGATGACATAAAAAAACTCCTAATAAGAGGAAGCTGCTGCCATCTATCATATACCTTATGACAGGGAAACAACCAAAAACATAATAAATTGATGCAGCGCTACCTAAATATATAAATAAATAAGTGAATAGAAATACTGAATATACAAACATATACTAATGAGTGATAATCATAGAATTATATACAGTGAAACCAATACATGTGTAGAAGTGACGGCCTTGTATAGTGTCCCCAATACTCAGTGTTAGCCGGATCGGCCCGGTCACTGCCAGCACTAGTGTTCAGCCCCTCCACTGTTCTTCACAGAAGATTTGTACCAATTGTGGGCCAAGGCAATTTATACCCCACAATACATGGCCGCCCCCCCCAAATTCAGCTCTGTCACACAATTCACATGGAACTTATCACCGTTTATGAAAATTAAAAACTTATTGGGAGCCGAAACCCCAACATGGATATTACAGAAAAGAATGAATTGCAGCCATATTGGCCCGCAGACCCGATTCATCGTATGTCCGTGTTCTCTGCTGGTACATATAATGTCCAACATGGACCAGCAATGTACTGGAACGTCGCTGGACTTGGAGTGGTTATACCGGGAGGATGCTTGCAGCTACAGGAATCATTCTAGTGCTGGTTTATTAGCTGGAGGTCGGCTTTCATGTAAAAGTATCCTAGTGGCCAATTAGCTGCAGAATTGTTTTTACAAACAGCGAGATGGGACATCATTATAAGTGATTTCCTATAGCAGCAAATCTGATGAGATGAATGAAGTGGGTGTAAAGTGGAAGCAGTGGATCTGCAGGGAGCAGCATCTTGAGCACAAAGCACACTTTATGTTGTGGATGGATTTGCACACGGTTCAGTTTCCTTCATTTATTGATAAACCCATAAGACCAATGAAGTGGGTGTAAAGTGGAAGCAGTGGATGTGCAGAGAATAGGATTTGGAGCCCCGAGCTCTTTATCTCTGAATGTCTCCACATATTTGTAGTGTATTTGTGATGATTTCTGTGCACACACAATAGGACAGCGCTGTGACACATAATGCTCTTCTAGATGACAGGGAATCCTTCCCTTTGTTACAGCAGCAGTCCGCTAGAAGGTTTTTTGTAGGTTTGGAGTTGTTACACATAGCGCGGGTTTTATCCATTTATAGTGATGACATCATTGCCCAAATCTGGGGGTCACCAGCCATTTCCACCCTTTACTCCCAGCTGGGGGGCTTTGTATCCATATACCAGATGTTCTACAGGACTAAATCTGCAATCAATGTTACTGCACAAAATCAAAGGGGCCAAAACCCCTCCCCCGAGCAGTCATATATTTCTGTCCCCCTTGGTGGGAGTGGAGGTGACCCCTCTATAAAGGATCTACAGTCCATACACACCCAGCACAAGGCCGGGGTCACACTACCAGACGCTTCTCGGGGCTGCAGTTCCTCTGAGCTCCACAAGGTGGGGATCTCACTTCTACCCAGAGAGGAGGTCTCTATGGAAGACAGGAAGTGATGTCAGGTACAGACAGGAAGTCTCTATGGAAGACAAACAAGTGACGTCAGACAGGAAGTGATGTCAGGTAAAGACAGGAAGTGATGTCAGATACAGACAGGACATTTTAGGGGAGAGGTAAATCAGGAGGAAGCAGAGAGGAGACATTCCTGGATGTGGCAGCAGAGGAGGTAATACTTAGATGATCCCCTTCAGGGGGAGGAGTTGATGATAATATATTTGCTCCCAAAGCTGGCCTACATGGTTCAGTTTTATCGTTCAGCCAGCGGGATGACCATAAATACTGAAGCGATTCCCCCATCCACACATTGGAGGTGGATGGGGGGAATCCTCCCCGCTGCACTCTTGTATTCTGACAATGGGGGGACTCCTCCGCTCTCAGAATACACAGATCAGCACTGAAGCTATTGGCTGCAGCCGCCTGGGGGAGTGGCTTTTATCCAGCAGTGGCCACACAATGGATGGAAATGTGAGCGATCCCTGCTGAACCAGCTGAATTTCCATGGATCTATGGTCACCTTCAGTGACTTCCTCCCCTCCCCCCCTCATCTCCTTCATGATGGAAGTCATGCTGAGATCATCTCCCATTGGCTGAGCAATATTCTCATTTGTCTCTCAGCTCCTTCTTGCTATTCCTCGTCCTGCCTGTTGTTTCCTTGGATTGATTTTCTGTGTAGTGACCCCGGCTTGGTCTCTTGGATGCGCTCGTCTGTTGCTTGCCCTGACCTTTCTCTTGATTCCTGGATCTCCTCCTCATCTCTCCTCCATATCTCTTTACACAGCTTTTCTCCACACCTGCAGTGACCCTGGGGGGAGGAAACTTGGCACCAGCACGCCGCCAAATCCATCCCCACCATTAGGGGCTCTGGAGACAATTGTCTGCTATTTACAGTCCGTTCCTCCGCACGTCACCTGATCACATGACAGCTTACTTCCACAGATTCCGGACAGATTTCTGGATGGTAAAGGTCAAAGTTCACTCTTCAGTTTAGGAGAGGTAGGACGCACATATTGGTCCTGCGTTGTATGTAATGACATCAGAATGCTGCAACAAGCCTATACCCTGCGTAGTGTGGGGGTCCTGTGGGGGGGAATTATACCTCAGCCTGAAGTGGGGCTTTAATAAAATGGAGACCTGAATGGAGAGGTGAGGAGGATTCTGGGAATATCATTTGATGTGACTATTTGTGTTCAGATGTAGAGTTTTCCTCCTGTGAAGTCTGGAGATCATATGACATCACATTGCCTCCACCTCCCTCCCTGATAGAAGAGAGAAAGAAGAAGAAGATTCTAGAAGTCACCAGAGAGATCACTGAGCTGCTGACAGGAGAGGTGAGCGGTGCCCGGGAATTCTGGGACATTCTCCAGTAACAGACAAGGGATATGTCTGGATGGTGACTGTATCATTGTGTGTGTCAGGTTCCTATAAGGTGTCAGGGTGTCACTGTCTATTTCTCCATGGAGGAGTGGGAGTATTTAGAAGGACACAAGGATCTCTACAAGGACGTCATGATGGACAATCAGCCGCCCCTCACATCACCGGGTAAGAGGAGACTTTATTGTAAAGGAGAGAGCAGTACGGAGGATCCACCTAGATCCCCCATCATCTGATAAACACATAGAAACAATGGATTCAGTCAGTGTGTGTGTTTCCTACAGATGGATCCACTCATGGGAACCCACCAGAGAGATGTCCCCGTCCTCTGTATTCCCGGGATTCCACACAGGAAGGTCACACCATCCCTCACCATCATCAGGTAGATGAGGAACAATCACTGATAGTATCATTAGGATCTGTACATTATCTGCATTGTTACCATTGATGTCATTTTTATTATATATTCAGAGTGGAAACCTGAGAGATCCTAAAGTTGAGGTTAAAGAAGAGATAAAAGAGGAGGAGGATGAGGATGGGGGGATGGAGGAGTCAGAGCTTCTAAAAGAACACAAAGATCTGTACCAGGACACCATGGTGGAGTCATCCAGCTACAGGAACCCACCAGAGAGATGTCCCCGTCCTCTGTATTCCCGGGATTCCACACAGGAAGGTCACACCATCCCTCCCCATTGCAAGGTTGGTGGGATGGAGCATCTAGAACATGAATTCATGGAGACAATGTGTGGATATTTTCTGTGACCTTACATTTTACAGATGATATTTTTCTCTCATTTCCTTGATTTAGAGTGGAGATCCAATCGATATAGAATTTGAGGTGAAAGCAGAAGAAGAAGAGGCGTATGTGAGGGATGATCAGCAGTCTATGGAGGAGGATGGAATAACGGGGACATTTATAGAGGAGGACACTCCTACAGAGATCAGCACAGGTGGGTCATGAACACTAAATCCATTCCTCCTGAATATATTTATTCAAGATGGCGGCGGGAGCAGACATGCGTTAGGAGCTCCTGCGCTCCTAGCCCCAATCCGCTGCCATCCGGGCCGCAGCGGACCCCAGCGGGGCCCCTAAGACACTCCCCCCCGGCCCAGCCCGACCACCAGGGAAGGCTTCTGGACCTTTTCCCGGAGCTCCGGGAATCGTGGCCTACCCGCGCACCTGAAGCCGGGGCCTCAATTTTTTGCCGCGGCCGAGCCGCGACCGGACCGCATCGCCGGACATCCGCCCGGACTGTCTCCGCTCTGCCCACCGGGTCCCACCGACCTGCCTGCCTGCCCAGGGCCCTCCCCATCAGCCCTGGGTCCTCGTTGACTACCCTGGACCACCAGGAACCGGCACGGCCTACGGTCTCCCTGGAGCCCTCCCTGCTAGCTCAGGGACCACCCCAGACCGCCCGCTTCCAGCCGCTGACACCCTGCCGCCACCTCGGGGCACCCAGCATCCAACACCCAGCGGCCCTGCCTGGGAACTGCTTTGGGCCTCCCAGTACCCTGCGGGCTGCCCTGCACCAGCCGGCCCAGACCAGGGACCTTTCCAGGATGCCGCTGCAACTCCGCTACCTGCACCGAAAGGGTAAGCCTCCCCTTTGGGGCACCTACCACTGAACTGCCCAAACCCTATCCAATTCGGCGGAGCCAAGCCTACCACGTGGCCTTACCGCTCCCACCGACGCAGGTCCCCCCCCCAGCACCCCCAGTCACTGGCCCACAACATCCACCTGCGCTGCTCACCTCACCCACGGACGCTGAGCCAGACTGCGACTAACCCACTCCACCCTCCAGACGTCGGTCCTCACCACCTCCTGCTGCCAACTGCCCCTCTACACCGCCTAACGCCGGTTCCTTCATACACCACCTGATGCCGGGCCCTTCAGCACCATCAGTGCCTCCCGACGCTGAGTCCTCAGCGCCTGGCCCTCAACATCCGCCTGCGCCGGCTCACTTCGTTCACGGACGCTGACCCCTACTACAGCTGCCAACGCCTAGCCTACTCCACCCTCCAGACGTCGATCCATACCACCTCCTGACGACGACCCTTCCACTCCTCCCGACGCCGGGCCCTTCAGCACCCTCAGCGCCTCCCGACACCGAGCCTCAACACCTGGCCTCAACTTCTCCGGTCTCCAAGCCGCCAGCATCACCAGATGCCGCGCCTACTGCACCCCAGACGTCGCGCCCCTACGACCCCTCCGCTCAACGAACCACCACATCCACTGATGACGTGCCGCCGCACCCACGGACACCAACCTACTTCACCCGCAGACTACTACCAACCAGCTGCTATCCTTGCTGCCCTCCACTCTCCCTCTCTCCCTCCCAGAAGAACTCAATTAGTCTCCTCCACAGCGCTTCAGACGCTCTG